TTATCTTTCAAATCCTTTTGTGTGCTGCCATGCAAATTTTCGTAATATTTCGCCCATCGAAATATGTTAAAAGTGGGTTGTACTTTTTTTTAGCTTTAGTTTTGATGTTGCAACACTTTGTATTGCTATACTTGACGCATTCAAATGCCTTTGTTGAGCGCGTTTTCCCGTAATGTATTCAACCAAAACTTTAATCCGGATTAGTATGACGCACAGTGGTCGGAGAAGCTATGTTGTATGCGAAAAATTAGAAGGGCTGCAATAAAATATGCAATAAAATTTATAGTTTGACAGTTGACAGCTGTCAGATCAACTCCCAATTTCTCTAAAATAAAGAAAATCTTTTCGAAAATACCACTGGTTACGTTTTTTGACGTGCTGATCACGAACTTTATGTCAAATTAAAACCTTGACAGTTCTTTAATATTCACACGGTTTCATGAGGCTATTACTATATATTTTAAATCTGGCACACCGTAATAAGAGATTGTTGTTATTACAAGCTGTAATTTTATTCTCAATAGGAATGTTTAAATAAAAATCGTTTGTATATTGAATTCCCCTAAAATTTAAAGCAATTTCCCGATTACCCCGAAAAGTTCAAATTCCACCAAAATCGAGGAATTCTCTGCCGGTTGGCATCACTGTTTCCAATATTAAATAATCAGGACCTATCGTAGCTTCGATTTTCGTAAAATCTACGGAAGTGCTATGACAGAATCCGAATGGCTACGAACGTAAGTTCGAAATTCGTAGAGAGCCTTCACTGTAATGAAGATTCGTTCAGATACTCTACGACGAGTTTACGCTGTCGAAACAAAATTTAAAATCACTGAATCTTAAAAATAATGGAAAACGCTGCATTACTTTTAATAATAAATATTTATTAGGTATACCCCAAATTTGCCGTAGTTTGATATAATTCCATAAATTTGTGTAAACGTAGACGTAAAATACCAATGCCATACATAAATACATATGTGTGTACATACATACATTATTCTGCTAGACGCTATTTAATTAATGACTATTTCTTATGAAGAGAGGAAATAGGAAAGTTTAACAAGAATTTATTAGGAAAGAAACCTAATTACTTTAATTTCATAAAAATCAGTTTAAAAAAATATTTAAATTAAATAAAAAAATATATATTTTTTTCTCTTTAAAAGAATAAAATCTGTGTTCGTATGGAAAAGTAGCTTATGTCGAAAGGCTGACTTTAATATAAATCGGCATTTGCAGTATACGATTCCGAATGATTCGATGGCGCTGAGCCGTTGAACAACATTTAGAAAATAAACGTGCAAGAAATAGTTCCGATACTAGCAAGTCAATATTCTTATTAAGTCTCATCAAAAAATTCCTTGTCGTTTAAAGAATAAAAGGAATGCCGCATTATACTAAAGCCAACCCTTCGACATAAGCTACTTTTCCATATGAACACAGAAATATAAAATAAAAAATATATTCAGCCTTATCATGAGTTTCATTTTCCCGAACCAGTTCACTTTTGGTTTCCATGTATTTACTATGGGCGGATGAAAAATTTTACGGGTGAATTTTTTTCGGGCGAAACTTTAATCTGTCTTTAAAAAAAGAAATAAATTTAATAAGAAAAACTCCGCTGCCCGACGACTCGGACTCGAACTCGGACCTCTCTACTGGCAATCTAGTGCTTTGCCCACTCGGCCATTGCGACTGCTGGCGCAGCGTTAGCAAAATGGCATACATAAATGTCCATTGTTTCCTTAGCACTAGCTGATATCGAATCAGCATTCGAAGCTGGCAACGATATTTTCGAGTTCACTCAGCTTCAGTGATAGCATTTTTTTTCGTATTCGAATTCGTAGATTTTCTACGATGGATTCCGTGATAGCTCACTTCACTAGCAAGAATTTGCAGCTCTCCCGTGTTGTTACGCTCTCGATTCAGTGCTCTCTTGCAAATTTTTTGGGTTATCATACACTTTTCCAGTAAAAATTTCCAGGTTCCAGTACAAATTAGTACTGACTATTGGTTACTATACAAACCTATTTTTAGCATTCCTCAATTTGGCAGTAAAAGAAACAGCTGATGGCCTGCAGCTGATTTCAATTAACACTAATAAAAGAATGGTTTGTAAAACATTTATAGTTGGAATTGGCAAAATGAACATTGCTTCGATGTGACAATAAATTTATCAGCTGCAATGTTAAATTGGAACTGATTTTGTCAAGGCATATTAAAGTGGTGTCATACTTTAAGGCGCCTAGTTTCGAAAAAAACTTCGTTGGAAGAACCGCTGAACCTTCCTGTGTCTGTGAAAATCATTTCAATGCGTTATCTATCATCTGCTGATGCGCAGACGCAAACTGAGTAGGTCTGCTAGAAATAAATAGTTAGTTACAGCGCCAAATAAGAAGAAGACACTACATATAGCGAATCTTAGCTCCCAGTTAAACGAGGCTGTATTTACAAGCATCCATTTCAAAATGTTCACAAAAGGGTAGTTTAAAAACCCTTCAAGAAATTGTTAGCTAAGTCTTCATATAAATTTAGAAGAATGGATGTTTTTTTTCTTTAGAATCAAATATTTAAATAAGAAACTAATAGTAGTAGGCAATATTGAAGTAATTCTTAAAATAAGTATACGTACCATATGTATGTATTTATGCTGATGTGTTTCAATTGATGCTAATTTGTAGCAAACATAGCACTCGCACCTCAAAGGGTTAATTTGTTTGTTTACAGCTGTTTGACATTATAACTAGCTACAATAGAGTTCGAGCTAGTTGCCATTTCTACCTTATTAAATATGCCTTGAATTATACTAAATTGTACGACTGGACAACAATGACGTTGCCTACTGTCGTCCAGAAATAAGTAAATCACGAAAATCATCGAAAACTATCCAGTGCTGCCAAGTTGTTCCGTTTTAATACACCAGTTGAATTTTGGGCGATTAGTTGAAAGGCCGTTCACACCAAGTGATTGTTGTTTTCAACTAAAAGTTGCCTGTAAAATCGCCACACCTAAGCACCGCATCAGGCTCGACTCTTGAAAGACGACTAGACTATCAATCGACACGACACTCGCAATGAGGCTATATTTTTAAATGGGAAAATAACACTCAATTACATATACTAATTACCACCTCTGAACGAAAAAATAAAAATCATTAATTTCTGATTTCAATTATTTTACTTATGATTACGGTCCCTGATTTCTTGTCCCTTAATTTTGTACAAAGTTTGATTCATAAGGTTTTTTTTACCGAATTAGCTGCAGTGACTCAAAGAAGTGTTCACATGTGTTTACTTTTTTTAATAGTCACGAAGTTTTTTAAGCTAAATTTTTCTTGTTATATTTAACAAAGATATTGTTCATGCTTTAAACAAATCTATGAAATATATATATATATATTGTTGCCTTTAATCGTTTTACCTGGGGTTTTTTTTTAAATCTGAAAAATCTAATAAATATATTAATTGAGATGATTTACTTTCAGGCTTGGACATTTTCAGTTACTTTGCTACCTTTTAATCTACTATTTGTGTGTACTAAGGATTTAAAAAAGCTAATAAAATCTAAAAAATAAGCTTTATGTACAGTAAGTTCACATTCACTAAGAACCATTCGCTCTGACACCCAATTAGCTTCAGTATTTTCTCCGCAGCCAGGACCGGTGCCGGAATCCATACTGAGATAGTTGGATGTACTGGGAGCCTTGGGCGTGGTATGATCTCGAGCCGAACGCCCGGCCAGAGTGCGCTCAGGCTGCCAAGCGCGCTCGTTAAGAAGTCTAACGACTTCCTGTTGCCGCAGCCAATAACTTTTACGCCTTTCTGCCATCCAGCTCCTTCGAAAATCAGGACCTCCGCGTCGGCTTCAAGCATCAGGTCCATGAGCTTCGCCTCTACAAGTAGCCAGTGTTCCGGCGTTATGCATATCTTCTAGAATTCGCAACCCGGGTTATCTACTTCTTGTAATATTGAAATGTAAATACAGCTTCTGAATTTGATTTGATGAAATAGTGTAAAATAGCTGGGCTTTTTTTTTGCAAAAGAAAACATTAGTTTAGATATATAACATGCCTTCTGATGTCGCCAGCACATCATCTCCATAGCGAGGCCCAAATGCCTCCTTTCAGGGAGCACGTTATGCTATGCAAGCAGTTCCTAGTACGGTGCCACCGACGTAGGCACCCGGACAATCACATTTTTTCGGCAGAGCCTTCGCAAAGGCACGCCAATAGGCATCTCTACGAACTTAAGGACGAGGCCTAGACACGTTTGTCTAAAATTACACCGACTCCCGACCTGTGGATGCCGGGAGACCCGCACCACTTTAGCTCAACCTCGACACATGCCCGCGAAACTCAACTCAACTAACGTCCCAGTCCAACAGCGTCGAAGTGGTACGTTTTCTCGGCCTTCCGTTGGTTGAGCTTGACGACAACGATTGAGGGACAAGCCGATTAAGATAGCATTAAGTAAACTGCTACAACAACAAAAGTTTAACAACTCAGCACGTAAGTACAAAATAAATAAATTCCTAAATCGTCATAAGGCAACCTGACATTCTGCTGCTGCTGATTTGCCGTGCTTTCTCGTATTTATTCGTTAGTGATCTTTTCGCAAGACGTTGGGACACGAGCTCTAAGCGTTTTTTGATTTAACTTATTACATATGTATTTACTTTGATTAATAAATAGATAGTTTAAATCTACAACCTCTGTTTAAATCCGTACATCAGCCGTTATAACTGATACCTACAATACAAGGCGAATAAGCGCCTTACTCATAACCTCTTTAGAGTACTAATACATACTTTTTAACCTATGAAAGAGCTTTTATTAACAAATAATATTTTCTTAAAGCAAGCGCCTATACCCTTACCTTTTATTTTCCCAAATCCAACGGTGAGGTGTTAATCCATTTTGAGTTAAACTACATTAGTGTATGATTTTCTTTAACCTGCTGATTAAAAATACTAAAATTCAGGTAAAAGACATGTGTCCATATGTTTTAAAATTTTTTAATCCTTGACGTAAATTTTCTTAATAAATAGATAAAGGGCAATTGCATTCATGCATGCGCCAAAACCCACTACTATCATAACCAAACATTCAAAACATATGCTTAATAATATACTACTACATAGTACGTATGTATGTATGTATGTATGAGTAAACAGCGTTTATGTGGAAATGTATAATTCGTAATCAATATCATCGTATGCAATTGCGCAAGCTATCGCCGTTTATTGACTCGCTCAATATATTTAGTTTTATTTAAAGCGCGATTTCCGGCATTTGGATCCATCATACGTTTCCAATCTGTTTGGCCCACAACAAAGCCTATTGCCCGCATTTTTTCTTGTGCACGCTTCTCTTCGATATCCGCCCAGCGTACCTGCACAAAAAAAAAATGATAAAATTCATTAAATGTAAGGATATGTAAGGTATGTTCAGAAATTATTACGCGTTTCTTCCCATTGGTACTGGATTTGGGCGGCTGCCAATCGTCCACTTGCAAGAAATCCTCCATTGTGGCCGCTTTACGTTTATGCATCAGCTTATTCGTACCATCCAAACGAGCTGCATTAGGATTTGGAGAAAGTTTTTTGTTAAGACCATAAATCTTGTTAATTTCATATTATTTAGAATTCCTTTATGTATATATGTATGTACATATGTATGTAAATAGCTAACCATAAATATAGCAAATGATTTTTATCTATGTATTTACTGAGCAAGCATACAGAACAAAATGAAGTTATAAGCATAATCACAGTCTGGTACATATCATCCTGCCT